AATAAAACTACTTCCTAAATATAACCCCATCAGCACAAACACTGAGAGCAACAATAAATAAATGGGACCTCCTGAAACTGAGAAGCTTCTGTAAAGCAAAGAACACTGTCAATAAGACAAAAAGGCAGCCTACAGAATGGGAAAAGATATTCATCAACCCCACATCAGACAGAGGACTGATCTCTAAAATTTGTAAAGACCTCAAGAAATTAGACATCAAAATCCCAAATAACCCAATTAAAAATGGGGTACAGATCTAAACGGAGAATTCTCAACAGAAGAATCTCAAATGGCCTAAAGACGCTTAAGGAAATGGTCAACATCCTTAGCCATCAGGGAAATACAAATCAAAACAACTCTGAGATATCATCCTACACCAGTCAAAATAGCTAAGATCAAAACCACCAATGATAGCTTATGCTGGAGAGGATGTGGAGTAAGGACAAGACTCATCCATGGCTGGTGGGAATACAAACTTGTGCAACCACTTTGGAAAGCAGTGTGGCAGTTTCTCAGAAAATTGGGACTCAACTTACCTCAAGACCCATTCTTGGGAATATACCCCAAAGATGCTAAATCACACTACAAGGATATTTGTTCAGCTATGTTCATAGCAGCATTATTTGTAATAGCCAGAACCTAGAAACAACCTAGATGCCCCTCAACCTAGGAATGGATGGAGGTGTCTTGAAATTTGCATGCATGGTTGGAATTAGAGAAATCCATCCTGAGTGAGGAAACCTAGACCCAGAAAGATGAACATGGTGTATACTCACTCACAAGTCGATACTAGCTGTAAAGCAAAGGATACTGAGCCTATAGTTCATGATCCTAGAGAAGCTGGGTAACAAGGTGAATCCTACAAAAAAAATACATAGATCCACCTGGAAAGGGAACATAGACAAGAGTTGGGGCATGGAGGTGGAGGGGGCAGGGAGTGTGGGAGGGGAAGACGAGAGGAGAAGAGGAGGGGGAGGAGAACTTGAGGGAACAGGGTAGTCAAGATGGAGGAAGGACAGAGATGAGAGCAAGAAAAGAGATATTTTGATTGAGTGAGCCATTTTGGGGTTAGCAAGAAACCTGGCTCTAGAGAAATTCCCAGGAATCCACAAGGATGACTCCACCTAAGACCCTAAGCAGTAGAGGAGAGGGTGTCCCAACTGGTTTTGCCCTTTAGTCAGATTGATGACTATCTTAAGTGCCACCATAGAACCTTTATCCAGCAACTGATGGAAACAGAGGCAGAGACCTGTATCAGAGCACTGGACTGAGCTCCTAAAGTCCAGCTGAAGAGTGGGAGGAGTGAGAATATGAGCAAAGAGGTAAAGACCATGATGGGTTCACCCACTGAAACAATTCATCTGAGCTAGTTGGGAGCTCACCAAATCCAGCTGGACAGGGAAATAAACAATATAGGTCCAAACTAGTCCCTCTGAATGTGGGTGACAGTTAAATGGCTGGGACAGACTGCAGGGCCACTGGCAGTGGCACCAGGATTTATCCCCATTGCTTGTACTGGCTTTTAAAGCATCTATTCTCTTTGGATGGATGCCTTGCTCAGCCTAGATATATTAGGAACTTGCCCCTTCCCTAAAGCAATGTTCTTTTTTTTTCTCTGAGGAATGGATTGGGGGGGGTAGGTGAAGGAGATGGGAGGAGAGGAGGGAGTGGGAACTGGGATTGGTATGTAAAATGAAAAAGGTAGTTTAAAAAAAAAACCAAAAACTTTGTTTTTATGTGCACTGATACTGATGTTTTGCCTGTATGTCTGTGTGAGGGTGTCAGATTCCCTAGAATTGGAGTTACAGGCAGTTGTGAGGTGAGTGCTGGGAATTGAACCTGGGTCCTCTGGAAGAGCAGTCAGTGGTCTTAACTGTGAACCATATCTTCAGCTCCAGTGTATTGCCTTCTCAACAGACAGAAGGCAATGTCTTCATCTGTTTTGGGATGTTGTAACAAAACATCACACACACGGTGGCTCACATACAGAAATGACAGCTCTGTAGGTTCAAAAGTCCAAGATCAAGGGGATGACAAGCAGTCTGTTTAGAGGGCCACCTTCCTGGTCCACAAATGGCTCCTTTGCTGCTATGCCAGACAGGGTGGAGGAGACTCTGACGTTCTGAAAGGCACCAATTCCCAACCACCCAGAGGCCTTGCCCAATTCTATCACCTTGAGAGCTGAGGTTTCAATATTTAAGTTTCAAGGGGAAGCATCTCGATCATAATAGTCCCTAGGGCTATGGTTCTGTGTACTTCCGGGTTGGGAAACCTTGGGTCTTTCCTAAATGACGTAAGGGTGTAGCACAGGCTTCGTAGGGCTGCATGGGGACACTCAAATCACATGATGGTTCGTGCAGAGCAGGGCAGGGAGAACTCCTGAAACACCGTCATCTAGAATCTCCCTGGGAGCATCCTCTTGATGGGGAAGGACCTTCTCTCTGTACCTACAGACTCTGGAAATGGCCGTTTTGCCAGCCTTGGTCCTCACTTGATTGAACCCCCAGACGATGTTTTTATGGCCTTTTTTTAGCCCCCCTCCCCTCACCCCTGCTTTCTAGCCCATCATTATCCCACCCTTGGATGTTTGCACCCTGTTCTGAGAGTCACTGTGTGGTCTTCCCTGGAAAGCTCCCCATGGTTGCTAAAGCTGTCACCAGACGGTGGAGACTGTTGTCAGCTTCCTTTTCCAACTGGTACCACCATTTGGATGTAGCTGCCTACTGATTCAACTGCAGGGCTTCACAATAGTCCCTGTATGAACATATTAAATGTCATCCATCTTACTAAGGGTAGGACGCTAAGCAGGCTCAGCAAGGCTCCAGACCAGGTAGTTAGACCACACGTGTAGCAGGCACCAACCCCCCTACACACACACACACACACACACACACACACACACACACACACACACACACACACGCCACAGGCAATGTAAGTCAGGAGAAGGGCAGAGCCTGGACAGAGTAAGGTGGCAATGAGTAAGGAAGACTGGCAGTTCTGGAAAGACCTGACCTCCAATCTGAATCCCCTCCTAATTAAGACTGTTGGGATGTTTATATGCTATGTGCATGTATAAGCCAGAGGACAAGCCGCAGGTGCCAGCTCTCTCCTTCCATCACTGGATCCCAGGGGTTGACCTCTAGCTGCCAGGCTTGGTGTCGCGTGCTTTTTCCCACTGAACCATCTCACCACTTTATCTCCTATGCTTAAAGCTTAAAACAATGAAAAAAAGGTAATCTTGCTGGGTGGTGGTTGTGGTGCATGCCTTTAATCCCAGCACTAGGGAGGCAGAGGCAGGCTTCTCTGTGAGTTCAAGGCCAGCCTGGTCTACAAGAGCTAGTTCCAGGACAGGCACCAAAGCTGAGAAATCTTGTCTTGAAAAGAAAAAAATAAAAAAAGGGTAATCTTCTAAAACAGATATGAACACTTGGAGACATATTGCTTTGTTTATCCCTCATCACTTCCAGCAATCAGCGAGAGCTGGGCTTTGAACACAGACCCCTGGCACTGCAACAGGTGTCGGGCACCACACTTCCACTCCCAGCTGTCCAGGAGACCCCAGTAGGGAGGTCCTGCTGGATTCTGCAGGAGCTGGAAGGCGCCTTATGTGGGGTAGCTCAGCTACCTCCCTCAGACAAGTCAGTAGCCAGCAGAGGCGGCCTTTGGCTTCCCTGGGCAGAAGTACTCCTTCTCTCTGCCGTGCTGGCCAGAGGTCACACTGTCGACTAGCTGGCATCTCTCTAGATGAATGCTGTTGCTTTTAGTCTCAGTGTGACCTGCAGGTGGTGGCATGGGTTTCCTCCACAAGGGTCACAGAGTCTGATGTTCAATGCTGGCTGCACTCAATACACATGGTACTCATGTAAGGATTAGTAGACAGCAATGGTTCCAGAACAGAGAAAAACCTTGTCCCACTGTTGTGTCTGGTGTGTATTAGCAGGCATGAAGGAAAATGCTTATCTAATGATTTCAAAGAGCAACACTGCTTAAAGGGCATAAAATGTGCTTTGTGATTGGACACAGTCACTGGGACGAGTTATGAGTAACTTTGTGTAAAGTTAAGATCTCTCTTTTAATCACATCTGATAAAGTCACACAAAGACCCTCTTTCTTATACACCAGATTGGCATTCCCCAACTGAGGGACAAGGAACAGTATTCTGTGAGATGTTAAAATACACCTGGAATATTCTTCACAAAGTCTAAATTTGAAGAATATGCATTGTTCCCTCAGAAATTCCCAGAGAGGGGCAGGGCAGAGGGAGGGAGCAGGGGCTGGGAAATGCTGCAGGCTCCAGTGTAGGGGAGCCTGGGTAGATGACCCTATCTGGACATTCACTTGTGTAGTCTGATTTCCACAAACACTCTGTAACCAAGTCAACACACGGACAAATCGGTGAAGGATTTTAATTTCTCCAGTTCACAGTTTCCTTTGTTTGGGTATGCCTGTGGTCTTTGTGTGTGGTGCAAGCATGTGAGTGTGCAGGTGTGCCCTCGGAGGCCTGAGGATGACCACTGCCTTTCTCTGGCACCATCTCTCAGTGCAACAGAAGCTCACCATTTTGGCTCACTTGGATGGCCACTGGATGTTAAAGATCTGCCTATTGCTGCCCCCACGGCTGGGGTCACAGGCACACGGAGCCTTGCCCAGCATTTTACCTAGGTGCTGTTACTCAAACTCAGCAGGTCCTTGGGCTTTCCCAGCGAGCACCTTGCCTACAGAGCCATCTACTGAACCCCAGTCCAGAGGTCTTTAAAAATAGAAGCATCCAAAATGAAAAATCTCAATCAGATCTTTACCTGAGTAGTAACAGTGGAGATGGCATATCTCCCTTAGCTGCATCCCTCGAAGTGAGATGAGGTGGATGATCAGCCTCTTTTGGGTGGTACTAATATGCTAAGTATTCGGAAACTAACCTGAAGGTTAGTCTTCATTGTGATAGTCATCCGCTTTTTGAGGGCTGCCTCTCGTTGCAAAGGAACCAAAACTAAAGCCTCCACTCTTAAATAGCATTTATTAGTATTGCAGTGGAGTCTCCCTCGAGGTCTCCCATTTATTTAAGGATATATGCTATGGTTAGAGAAGCAACTTCATTATTATATATGAGTATGCCCAACTACGACCCTTATCAGTCCAGGGGTCTAATAATATTCACATCATGTGCATCGCCATTTAGTTTCTTATCCAAACATGCCCCCTTCTCCCCCCTTTTAAAATATGTGCCTTGATAAAGTGGGAAAAGAACTAAAGGAACGAAACATCAAGGGCTTGCTATAAAGGAGAAGCCTAGAAAAGATAAAATCCCCACGGCAGTTCTGCTCAGTTGCTGTCTGTGAGCGGAGGCACAGTGCTCACACGGGCAGCGTTCTGCCCAGTGGTTTCTTGGTCAGGATGGTGAGAAAGCCCTTGAGGTTTCCTGCGGCTGTTGGGAGGAGCCGGAAATCCCATTTACTGAATCCACTCGATGTTCAGGCACCGCGCAATGAACGCAAACATGTCGGAAACTTCTTCTATCACTTTGGCGGTGGGTTTCCCGGCCCCGTGGCCAGCCTTGGTGTCCACGTGGATCAGCAAGGGGTTGCTCTGCTTCCGGCTGCGGCCCACAATGTATTGAAGCGTGGCGATGAACTTCAGGGAGTGCAGCGGGACCACCCGGTCGTCGTGGTCAGCCGTGAGGAGAAGCATGGAAGGGTACTGGATGTCGTCCGCCTCCGGAAGCTTCACGTTATGCAGTGGTGAGTATCTGTAAGGCAGGGGAACTTCCGTGAAAACCGACACCAAGAGCAGAGCTACCACAGACAAGAGGACAGACGTGCTTCACCAGCCTGACCACTGCCAAGGAGGGCTGGAATCATTTAGGCCAGAACTGTCAAGGGCTACTGAAAACTGGGGAGCTGGGTCACTTTACTTAGCTCTAACCTTGAAGGGTGAATAAAAAAGGAAGTCACGGGGCTGCTGAAATAACAGAACTGTTTCGAGTTTACCATCTCTGCATTGTTTATCTCTTGGCAGAAGGACCTGGAACCTGCCATGTGTCTGTCCTTTAGCGGATCTAATGCTTGTACCCCGGGGGAAAGGCTGCTGCTTTAGGAAGGACACCCCTATTCTCTGGGACTGGCTGCTAACCTGCACCCTGAGAAGACCTGGCCCCAAGGTACTGCATTTGGCCAATGGAGGGAAAGCAGAAGAAGACACTTCTAAAGCAGAAGGTGAGGTGAACTGGTGAGTTCATGAAGAAGGGCTTTAAGAAAAACAAAAAGAGTTGAGTTATAGGACGATTGCTAACAGTTTAATGAAAGGAACATCTAATATCTTTTCTTTACATTTTACCCATTATTAATGTCTCGGTTTTCACAGTTTCACACTAATGGATATAATAATTTGTTTCAGAACAGACTGAAAGTGTAAAGTATGGAAACAGCATAAATTCTGCTTAGCTTATCACATGAAGTCAAGCAGCCTGAGGCTGTAAGGTGTTGGAAGGCAGTGGGTCCGTCTAAGCAACCCCTGCATATGCGTTAGCTCTCCGCACAGCGTGAAAACCCTGCCTATTAAAATTCAAATAAGTTTTGTGGGAGAATAATTCCCCGTTAAGTTACAGGAGCCCCTGCATGGCCCTCTCCAGCTGATGTGCAGGGCTGAGCTGTGTGCTCACTCTCTAGCTGCAGGGGAAAGGAAGGTTCAGTCTTGAATGAGCAGCATCAGAACACTGAAATATTAAGTAGGAGTGCCATAAATTCTTCTAGAACCTTCCTCCCCTTTAGCTTTGGAGCCTGTCCTGGAACTAGCTCTCGTAAACCAGGCTGGCCTTGAGCTCACAGAGATCCCCCTGCCTCTGCCTCCCGAGTGCTGAGATTAAAGGCTTGCGCCACCATCGGGTGCTGTGGAGCACTTGGACATCCAATTCAGAGTTCATCATGTTAAAGGTCTTGAGCCTCCAGGTGCTCATCTGCACTTCATCTGAATTATGACTCCTCTGGACACAGTTACACCAGTGAACACCGGGGAGTGACCACAGTATTCATTTAGCCTTCTCCCCTTTGAGGATAAAATGTTGTTTCAAAGCATTGAATAAGACACTTCAGATGAAGTTCCAAGGAGGGAAGCTAGTTACAAAAAAAAAAACATGACAAATTAAAAAATGTTTTGAATCAGAAATTATGATTTTTCTGAGAAGACTGCGATGAGAAACGAGTTTCTTGTACAGCCTGAGGGAATTCCTAAACAGAGCCGCTAAGTAATCTGCGAATGTTCCACGTGGGCCGTGAAGAGCCAGAGAGGAGGAAGACGTCTCTCTTACTCACTGCTGCCCTCAAAGCTGCTGAGGGTCATGAATAAAAGAAGTGTATAAACTAATGCCTCTAATTCCAAATATTTGTGGGGACACTGAGCATAAAAATGGTCTAACTGTGTTCTACGTTCTTAAGAAAGGCAATGTCTCTACTGATATACAGTTTTAGACCATTCTATCTGAACTCCAGTAACAAAGGCTACTGGCACAGAACAGGAGACTCATGCCCCTCTTCCGCCATCAGCACCGTGGACTGCTCAGCTCAGCTCTCTGCTCCCAGTGTCTCAGAGCAGGCAAGGTGTGAGCGGTCAGCTCTTCTCCTGGGAACACTGGGAAAGAATGACAGCCGCCGCTTCTGAGCAGAACTCAGTCTCCCACAGCTACGGGGCTGAGGTCTCCATTTCCTCATGGCTATGAATCACAGTGAATCTCAGGTTCCAGAGGACCCTCTTGCCACCTGAAAAATCCCTTCTTCATAGCACGACCTACATTAGTGTTTGACAGGAATCTTAAATAGCCATCTTTATGAAAACAGTAAATCTGGGGGTTTAGCTGTGACTCAGCAGTAGAACGCTTCTCTAGTATCTGCAAGGACCTGGACTCAATCCCCAACACCGCAGACAGACAAAACTCAGGAAGACAGGAGGGCGCCACCATCTCCGTGACACTGCAGTAAATTACATGCAGTCAAAACACCAAATGCTAATCCGGTTGACAATAGTCACGATTAAGATAGCAGATTTTGAACAGTATATAGGCAAACATTAAGGAAGACATACTTGAGAAGCCATTCGAAGTGTTGCTTGCTGTCTGAGCACCCATAATCAGTGGTCCAGGCATGACCAATGGTAAACTTGTGGAACTTCAACATGTCCATCACTCCAACCTGGGCAATAACACAGCCGAAGAGGTCTGGACGTTGATTTGCACAAACAGCTAAGAACCAAGAGACAAAAAGAGGGAAGTGTTCATAATTAAACATCTAGATGAAGCCAGTGCTTCATATCTTCAGGACGCTGGTTGTTTCATCCCTGGAACACAGGCAGAAGTTTTCATAAATGATTCAGGCATGAATCTCCAAGCAGCCCAAGGGAGAAGGCGGGGTCTTCCCAGTATTGGAGCATTTCCTCCCCAGTAACAGTGGAGATGACCTGCTACGTTACTGGCTGGCGCTTCTCCGAGCCAACTTGCTTTCACGGGTGATGGGGATGGGAGGGACTTGTTCAGATCTTAGGACCAGTTCAGTGCAGAAGAGGGGCTGAAATGCAGCTCCAACCAGCGCTGGCACAGTCTATCCTGGTTTCAGATGTTTTGTTGTTGCCTTTTAGCAGAAAAATCTACTGAATATTTGCCAAGTAATAAAATAGAATATTTCTAGGTAATAAAACCAGATGTAGTGGGCAAGAGACCTGAGTGAGCTGTTAACAAAGCACGGCAATCACTGTTGCTAAAGGTCGGGTGCCATGAAGTGGAGCCGGTGCCCAACAGCAGCCAGCGAGGCTGGTTGGAAGCCCTCCAAGGCCACATGACTTGGGGTCAGTCAAAAGATCTAGACTATTCCTGCCTCTGGCAAAATCCATAGTTCACAGCCTATTCTAATTAGGTCACATGTAATAAATAGCACAGAAGTCTGAGCCATCCCCTTAGAAGCCCAGATCCTCTTGGAGGTTAGGAATGTGCAGGCCCAGAACGAGCATCCCATCATCTTGATGTGGTAGCCAAACGAGCATCCCATCATCTCGCTGCGGCTCTGTCTTTGTGGATTTCTCAAAGGACTTGGCTTAAGAGGGACAAAGCAAAACTATAGCAGAGTTAGTGGCAAACCAGTAGAGTATGACACAGATCACATGGCCTTTACAATGTTCTTTCCCGCTAAGCGTGGTCTCACCCGTAGTTCTGTTGGCCCTCTTATTTCTATCTATTCAGACTCTGACTACTTATCTTCCAGGGCCACATCTTGGTCCAAGCCAGTGAGGACTCTCACCTGCTCAGCTTCTCGGCCCTTACCTTCTCCCCATCGGTTCAAGGCTCCCAAAGCTTCCTGCTTCCCAGAGCAGAGAGAGAACTCAGGCTGCATTCAAAGTCTGTCCTTTCTGGTTTGGCTTTGGGACACCTACCTGAATCCACGAGGACATGAGCCTCCAGAACCTCTCACCTAAATCGTCCGTGTTAGCCTGCAGGCCTTGGTATGTGTCTGACTCATCTGAACAGAAGCAAAGCTCTGTCTTGCTCACCCATCTATGCCTGACACCTAAAGACATGCATGGCATTTCTTGACAACTAAGAAAATTTGTGAGCTGCCCCATGTGAGTCGTAAGAATCCAACGTGGGCCTTCTAGAAGATCAGGAAGTGCTCTTAAGAGCCGAGCCACCTCTCTCAGCCTCACCCTTGCCAAACTGAAATGAATTATTCTGGACAACTGCAGTTTGACATTCACGAGCCAGCTGTGCACTTCTTTAGCAGTGCCTGGGATTTACGCAGCTCACGCATCACTTCACTATCACCAGCTAGAAAACATTTGGCTAAAGATGGTGCTCTGTTTGGGAAAGCGTAAGTATAGAAATTCATGTTTGGACATGCTCCACGTGTTTCAAAGATAAATGAACATTCAACCCTCAACGCCCAAGAACAGTGGGTGGAAAACGGTTATGTGCTGTGCCGCCTGCACATGTAACAACATTAAACACCTCAGACCCCCCTGGAGTCAGCCTGCCGGGCGCATGCTCATGAGTATGCCAAGTGCTGCCGAGGGAGCAAAGAGTAAAATTTCACTAACCACCAACTTAGAAAAGTGCCAGGCCTAACCCAGTGATGTGACAGGAGGGGGCTATCTAATCCTCAGTGTTCTGTAGATGTGGACAGTCACAGCACATCTGCCTCACAAGGTGTTCAGCAGGTGTCAGTATTCATCCCAACCACTCCCTCCACTTCTGCATTACTAACAGGTTCCTCGTGTGTACCCCCTGTATGTCCACGGCATTTGGCTTCACACAGCATAGGTCTGAACAAACGTTCCACGAGGCTCACATCTTACTAGGCCTGAGTGGCATCATCAGGGGATGATCAGGTTCAGCTGGGGGCGGCTACGTGGCTTTAGCCCATAAAGAGTAGAGCAGTCAGGGCAGGCGATGCTCAAACGCAACTAAGTTCTTCTGTCTCTGCACCATTCCCATCAGTGAGCCTCCGGGTAAAATGGAGCTGGGGGAAAGCCCTAACGGGGGCAGCTCGTGACGGAAAGAATAAACGCAGCTCTCACCCACTAAGAGGCCGCCATTGGAGCCTCCGTTGATGGTAAGCCTCTTGGGGGACGTGTAGCCTTCTTTAACGAGATACTCGGCAGCACACTGAAAGTCATCGAAACAGTTTTGTTTGTTGGCCAGGATACCACCTGTAAAGTGAGAGACAATTAAAAACAGCACAGAAAGCAAGTCTGAGCTATTTGGAGGTTTCCACCGCTGACCAATGTCAACAATGGCTGCATAAGGCACATTAATAGAAATGCCTCAATTTAAATCTTACGGACTATGGAAATCTCAGCATTTCCACATTGCAGGTCCATATAGTGAATTTGTGTTTGATTAACAAACTATACAATTTATAAGGCAAGAGCCCCAAAGAGCAAAAGATGATCTGCTCGGTGAAAGAGGGCATTGGAAAGAAACTGGATGAGAAATGGACCAAGAATGCCCATGCCTGCCAGCCCTCTGAGCTCCACCTAGCACACACCTCCAGAGCTAGTGGCAAGGGCCGTACCTGCTTCCTGCCCTGGAGAACCACCCTCCCTCTGCAGTGTTGTGCTCAGCGCTAATTTAAAGGGAAAGCTGAGTTTAGGGGGCGCAGCAGCAGAGCACACTGGGGACGCCCGACTGTCACGTGCCCCCCCAGGGACTCATGGCGCATCTTCACCTATCACCCTTCCCATGTTCCAAACCAAGAGAGCCCTCAGGGGGAAGGTACAGGTGAAGGCCTCAAAGATGTCTGAAGTAACTGCCTCAGAACGAACAAAGAGCAGACCAGATCTAATTAGATATTCAAGATTAACCACTTGTGCAGAAATTCAATTAAACATGAAGCAGTGCTACTGAAAGAATTTTTTCACATCAAAACAAATGTTATTAAGATTTTAATAAGCAATTACCGGTGAATTAGAACAGCTAGGATGACTTGGTTTCCAGGAACAATACCATGTGGTGTATATGCCTATTTTTAAAAGTGCATTACATTTTAAGCTCAAGGAGCAGAATGAGAATTAGACATATCAGTGTTCTGCATACCAGGCTATAACTGGAAAAGGTCCCCTTCTGGTCCTTTTATTAGCTTTTTGAAGCAGTCAGAAAGTAATCTGGCTGTAGTCAAGCTCCAACTTGTCTACTCCCAAGGCTTTGGACAAAAGTTGGTCTAATTAATGGATGTGCGTAGAAGCAAACCAGGGCAAACGCATCCTGTCTTTTAGACCACAGGGTCTATTCTCCCAGAGGGAAAATCTGGAAGTTGAAGCTGGCCTCAGGATCACAGACTGTGGCCAGGACATGTGTGTATATGAATTAGATGCGTGGAAGGGGCTACTCTTAGCCTATGACTTTGAGATGTATGTCAAATTTATGCTATGTATACATTTTTTTCTTTTTTTTCAACCATCTTTTAACTGTGATCCACCTACTATCAAGTCAAAAATCACACAGTCACTCCTGTGTTGTTTCAAATCCAGTGACAACTGGGTGCGGTAGGAGTAACCAATTGTGCTGTAATATTGCCAGGGAGCCTGGGAAGATGTGCTGACTCCAGGGTCAGGCCTTGCTCTGCAGCATCTCAGGACCTACTAGGCACATAGAACAATCGTTTTATAGGTTCACTCTTGTTGCTGACTGATGTGGGGAACCAGGCCTTGGAGGGTGAAGAAGAATGGTCTCAGATGTTCCTGCAGTGAAAGGAGATGCCTGTCCCCTAGCGACCTCTCGGCCGTATTGTAAATGCTGGCAGAGTTTGGGAAGTGTGAGGCTGGAGGGAGAGTTGCCTTTTGTTCTCCATCATAAGGAAATAACAAGTGAAGAATAATTCTGGTTGCACAGAGTCTGGACAAGGCGTGAGAGGCTCCAGAGAGAAGGAAGAGGCAGGGATTTAAACAAATGACTATCAGTAACAATCCCAACCTGGACCTCTAGGATAAAGCTGGACTAGTCCAAGAGCTCCATGGGGCCAGCAAACAGATACAGAAAACCAGAGAAGAAAAAGGCTAAATTCTGGTGTCCAAAGGCTACTCGGCCTTCCCAGCACAATGCTAGGACATGCTGGTAGCCACACATGAAAGCAGTCCCGTCACAGGGCTGTTTCGTTCTCCTAGCAGAAACTGGCCTGCTTTATGACCTCTTCTGAGATAACCAGATAATGCCAAACTGAAAAGCAAGGCCTTCAGGAGGTGAACTAGACACCAGAAGCCCCCACAATCTCCCACACTACCTCAGGTGTTGCTGAAAAACAAAATTCCATTATGTTTTATGAGGATGATGTCTGAAAAATTGTGCTTCATTATCCTATACTACCAAGGAAAACAACATATGAAGAGATGTTTTTACTGGAAGAACGGTTTGTGCAATGAGTCTGAAAAGGGCTTTCATCCTGCCAAAAAGCCCTCAGTTCTCTCTACCCCAGCTCTTTCCAACAGGAAGATCAGCATGACCTAGTCAGGTCAGACTCGGTTCTGCAGAGAAAACACCCCACCTTTATGCCACGTCTCTCCATATTCGCCACCGCCTCTGATGTTAGCCACTGCGAGGACGCCGCCCATGTGTCTCACAAAAATGAGCCTGGACACGCTGAGGAACAGTGAAGACAGTTTAATCTTCCAGCAACTGCCCAACAAGCACCAAGACTCTTCCCCCCACCTCTAAGTAAAATTATATCCTAAGAACTCTCCATGCAATACAGCATCCAAATAGAGGTCCAATATTTTTATATTACTTGATTAAAGCGGTAAACGTATAACTTCTGATTACTACTTGCCTGCAAAGCACACACATGTTCATAAACAGTACCTTTCATTCTTCTGCACTGGCAAATGATCCACTGTGAGATTCATAGTACAGACAGTACACAGAAACAATCAGAGACCCCCATTTCACACGGATCTACCTTGGTAATGACTACCATGGCAAACAGAAGCATCGGGCCAGGTGACTCCCAGCCCCTCCCGACAGTGGACCCGTCAATAGGTAACACTGTGTCTAAACGGCTCGACTTGGATAAAGCAAGCGCCTCTCGTGGACTTTAACTGCACCTCTCTGTGTCTTAGGAAACTTAGATGGCAATTAGACAAAACAGGATGTGCAAGGATGGAGATCATACAGAACGGGAGAAGAACAAGCCTCGAGGCTTGAGATAAGACACTATAGCACAGAGTGTCCAGAAAAAAATACTATCCCTTTTGAAACCTTGGGTTTGTTTCTTCTTTTTTTTTTTTTACTCTGACCCTAAAGGTACAGGGATATCTTTCCGTTATAATTATTTTGTTTTCAACACTATTTCTGATGTTCTCCTTCTTCCTTTTGTGAGGGGTGAGGGTGGGGCCACAAAGGAGATGAAAGGGAGTCAGAGTGAGGTAGATACAATTAGAATAATCATGACCAATTCGCCTAAATGACTTCATGATTTGGTCCTTTACATTTTCAGGCATCCCTGACAGTTTCTCTCTTGAAACCATGACATCCACTACAGGGATGAAATGGCCTGGAGAGCCTCTCTTGATTCCTAGCCTAGAGGTCTAAAATGAACTCACTGTACACATGGAGAGACTGCTAGCGTTAGACACGGTAGACCCACTCAGGGACCGCCGGGGTGAAGGGGATGTGGAACAGTGTGCATGTGCCCTGTTATCCCGGGATGAACCATGTGTCACCATCCCTGACGTAAACAGCATTCTCACTGGAAATGCTATATAAAGAGTGGCAAACAATGCCAGAGTTAGGCTAATCTAATAGACACCGACTAGCTTGAGTTTCCAGATAACTGTCTCTGAATCAACGTGGCCTGTGATTGGACCACTGAGATAGGGCTGAGATAGGAGATGGCAGCCCAGGGAAGGGTTCCAGGCGGACAGACTGCAACTTTCAGCCTAAATCCAGGCTGTGCCACCACCACGGCACTCTACTGGAACCCGCAGCATTGAACACTGCTCTGTGCGATGATTTTATACAAGAGGTCCCTTGTCCTGCCAACCAAGGCAAACAACCACCTCCTCAGTGTAGTTCAGTCTCATGTAAAAGATTCTGAGGGCAGGGGCCATCTTTTTAGCTTCGTTAAATCTAACATAATGAGCAGTTTCAGTTACTGGACGTCCACAGCAAGGCACGAGCGTTCGCGCAGTCAGGTTTAGGGCAGCTGGCTATGGGTGTGAATGAGTGGGTCCCAGCCATCATTGGTCCACAAATCTCCTCACAAATGGAAAGGATCCTGGGCCAATCAGGAACCAGACTTCAAATGAGGCACTATTCACACTGCTGCTCCAAATACAAACTCCTTTCATTAAAAATACTCAAGGCAAATTCTATTTCATACTAGGAATGGGATCCTGAGGTTGCAAAACAACTGACAAACTATTTAAACAAATAACAGCAACGAACATATGTCATATAAGCATCCATTATCTGAGAAATAATCACAGAACAGTTTAAAATGGAGGAGCCATAGCCTACTCATAAAATGTGGTTATGGCTGTTTTAACAACCTATTTTAGGCCTCTGCGGAGAGAATACAGTCATTAGCTGTGAAGGCATTCCTCCGAAGAGGTGAGAGGGTAGTGACGTGCTAGCCACTGACATGCACTGAGGACAGGAGTGTCCTCTTAAGACCTCAAATGATGGTAATCATTTGCAATCAGGCATCTGTAGGCTTCAGAACTACTTCTGGAACAATCTATCCTATTGAGGGCATCAAGTAACAACAACAACAACAACAACAACAGCAACAATTCAAGAACTTAAATACAAGTCCTGCCCTCTGTGAAACACCAAGCAAGCTAGAACCATGTGATTTAGAAGACCCCACCAAGTGCAGAAGATCACGTACAGGTCGTCAAGTGTCCCGTGCTTACCTGTAGTTGGGTGTTATGGAGATGTTGAAGCCTCCATAGCCATATAAGAAAGCAGGATGTGACCCATCCAACTTGATGCCCTTTTTATGCACAATAAACATTGGGATCTTGGTGCCGTCCTTGCTAGGGTAGAAAACCTACAATAAAGGAAAGCAGAAGTCTTAGCTACAGCATGAAGTGGAAAATACACACAGGACCTTAAAGGTGAAACAAAACAAAACAAAACAAAACAACAGTTGTTGAATTCTCGGTTCACCGTGTGCAGCAGCAGCATGGGGGAAATGTAGTACTACCGAAGGGCGCATGGGACAGCGAGGCCCGGGTTCATTCCTCAGAGACAGGTGAGGGCAGAGAGCGTGGACTGGATCCTAGGAGAGGACTCTAGCCTCTCCACCCATCGCAAGCTGGGCAACCTTCCCTTAGCCTCAGTTTTAGTCTCCCATCTCGGGGCCTTCACGGAGCCACCAAAGAGAATGAGCGTTCAGTCCTCGGCTGCTCACCCCCTCAGCACTGGAAAGCCAGACTCTGCCAATCAATTTAATCTAAGGAGACTTCCTGTCTTGAAGACAAATTTCATGTTCAACTTCCTCTCCAAAGGTCAAGGCACTCAATACGTCTTCATTTTTCTATGTTCAACTATTAAACAAATGTTAGTAAGAACAAAAAAGATTAGCTGAGCGAGCTGACAAGGACATCATGGAACCCTATTATTCTTGGCTAAACAAAGCCATTTTCTCAGGGTTGGTAATTAAGCCTCATAAACCTTTTCTAAATCTGGGCTATCTAGGATAAGTTCAGACAACATTTCCATATTCATTACTTTTGGGATAAAGAATTAAAAGAAAAGGATAAGGACGGGACATTAAATGCTGCTCCTACGATAAGCAGACTGAGTGATAAGCTACAGGCAGCGATAAACAGAACCCCGTAAATAGCTTTTTCTTTGAGCAGACGTGGTATTTTTACCCCAACTGACAATGGGAAGAGGCCTGGCTCAGTTAGGCTGGAAAAATCCTGCTGACCTTGGTCATGCTGGAGGGCATTGAGCTTCCAGTGGTTCTCAACCTGTGGGTCTCAATCCCTTTGGGGGTTGCATATCAGATATTTATGTCATAATTCATAATAGTAGCAAAATTAGTTATGAAGTAGTACAGCAAGACTTTTATGGTTGGAGAAAATGTATTAAGGCAGCATTAGGAAGGTGAGGACAGATAACATATGCTCTTTTATTTTAGAGTTACCGGATCAAAAGCTTTTTAGGGTACACCCCTGCACCAGAAAGCTATCCCCAAAGTCCTTGGAAACAGAGGGAGCAGGGAGAGGGGAGTGGGCAGGACAGGTGTCACAGGATAGTAGCATCCTGGTTATATTTTTTGTTATTATTTTTGGTTAACTTGACAGAAGTTAGGGTCATCTGGAAAGCGGAACCTCAATTGAAAAAACAAAATAAATAAAAAATTGCCTCCATCAGACTGTCCACATGCAAGTCTACAGGGTATTTTCCTCATTGCAGATTGTGTGGGAAGGCCCAGCTCACTGTGGGTGAGGCCACCGCTAGGAAGCTAGTTCTGGATGGTAGAGAAAGGCTGAGCCAGTCCCAGTTTCTGTCCTGAGCTACTATGCTGGCTTCCTCGGAGATAAACAATGTGGATGCCAAATAAACCCTTCCACTCCCAAGCCACTTTTGGTCACGGTGTCTTCAGCACAGCAATAAAAAGCAACTAGGGCAGTGTCAAGTACTCATCTGGCTTTAAACAATTTTTTTAAAAAAAACTTGTCGATAAAAATAAAAAAACACACAACAACTTTGTTTTTGACTGCTGAAAGAAACAGTGCTGAGACACGGACTAAATCCGGCAGTGTAGGATCATGGGAGATGCTGGGCAGATTCTGAATTGATCAGAGGGCACAGTTTGTGTAGAGTTATGCTGGGTACCACTAGTGGAACATAGCTGTGTGGCAGGGGCATTGCTTCTCAGGATCAGAGAGTAGGAGCCACCTGAGAAGCAATGGCGTCTATGGCACAAAGGAGAAGCTGTGCCCCATCACAATGGAAACATCTGTGCAAAACCTGGTGTTCCCTCCAGCTATGCCCAACTCCATGAACCGTCCCCAGTACCTGCTCAGCTTCCCCTCCCTGAAGCTCTTGGCTGTCACTCAGGCAGGTGGACAAATGTTCTCTCTTCAGACCCTCACCTGCTCCCCACAGTGTGACACTTCAGCTCCCCACAGTGTGACACTTCAGCTCCCCCATAGCCTTTTCTGCTCCATCCTGTGAGACCGCCACTGCCTAGAGCTGGCCCGTCACCCCTAATCTCACCTGGCTCTAGGACCAAAGCATACTTCTAGAGTGTTATGGAAAGCCAAACAAAGCCCCACATGTCTTCAGTGAAGACCCTTAACTGTGGTTTAAGTTGGTATGGTTCTGATGATACAATAACAGTATTTTAAACTGTCAAAGTCGAAAGACAAGCAAACACTTTGTTAAAAAGGCAATTTCTTCCTTAAAATACATGCACCGCTCCTCTTCTACTAATAACTGAGCCTAAACTAAAGTCCATGCAAGCATTTTGGAAACTTTCGTTAAAAGTAGTCAGGGATGGAGAGATGGGTCAGTCAGCAATTAAAAGCACTGGCTGCTCTTTCGGAGAACCTGGGTGGATTCCTGGTAGCTCACAGCTGTGATCTGTAACTCCAGTTCCAGGGGACCTGACAACCTCTTCTAGTCTCTGAGGGTACCATGCACACTCAAGGTACAGAGGTATACATGCAAGTAAAGCACATACACTAAAAACTAAAATGGAAGGAAGGAAGGAAGGAAGGAGGGAGGGAGGGAGGGAGGGAAGGAAGGAAGGAAGGAAGGAAGGAAGGAAGGAAGGAAGGAAGGAAAAGAAGTTAAGTAAGTAAATACTCCAGGCATTTCCCATCACACACTGGCTTCCTGTCGAGGTCACTTTGCTGGATGAGGAGAAGCCAACAGATTCCTCCCTTCACAAACGCCATCACACACTGCACCAAGTGGATCCCAGGGGTTTTTATCATCCTCTTTGGCTGGGGCTAAGCATCTATGAAGAATCATTTTATGTTCCAAGCGGCATGGAGCCCCAGACCTTCAGAACTGGTGCATTTTCTGGAACTTGCCTAGGCAATCTATCACTTTTAAGGCTCTTAGGACAGCCAGTGGTTTGTGCCTTCTTTACTATCGGCTTTCCTTGTTTTTTTTTTTTTTTTTTTTTTCTTGTCCAGTTTAGGATTCCTGGCCAGCCCTGTGACTGTCATTAGTTCCTGAAACCCTTTCATTCTCATCTCCATCCATTGGCTTCTTTTCTCCAGCAGTGGGACAGACACAGTCACTTCATCACAATTTAGCAACGCATGAGCTTAACTGGCCCTGAAAGTGTGTGATGGGCTCCTGCTCCATGGGAATCCGTGCACGTCTGCTAATGTGAATTCCCTAAATATCTCCTTGCCCCACCCTTCCCGACCACCATCCAAGTCGATCTAGGGTAACTGCTTCCTAGGCTTTCACGTTCATTCCTTCTCACCACTCCACACTGGCACCCTCTTCCCTTTCTACCTGACCCAGCTGTCTCTGTTCCGCACCTCCCTCTCCACCACTGCCCTCTTCCAATCACCACTTAAGCTTTGAACTTTCTCCCTTTCTGGGGTAAGTAAATAGACTTCAGTGTCTCCAACAACACCGTCTGTATGACCCGATCTACTCTTCAAGCTGAATTTTATCTTTGGCTTCCTTCAGACTGACCTTACCTGGTGTCACCCAGACTCACAGCTTACCCGTCTCCTGCCTCCTGGATGTCTGACTCTCCCTGCTCTTTCAAGAGTCATCAGTGAGAACTCTGGTCTTTCCCTCACCCGTCTACACAAACTCTATTCATGGTTATATCCCTCCCCACTGGAGGGGCAGGAAAAGCCTGTAGCCCTAGACTAATGGCTTATCACACGGCTCCTCATGACACTGTCTCTACCTTCCTGCCAGGGGCACAGAAAACAGTTACCAACAGATCCACACTCAGCCTGTGAGTGTACATCTTTTATCTGAGTAGATTTTAAGTCCCACCAAGAGTCTATACGGACAGATGTAATTTGGAAGCATGGCTAGGTCTCGAGAAAGCTATTTTACACACGAGCTTTCATCAAAGATAATGCAAACAGAAAACAATGGCAAGGCAATCCAGAGTTAAACCATGAATAAGAAAGCTTTTTCCCCTTAATTTTTCTCCCCCTTCAAAATTTAATTATTTTGGAATCCTGAGGAGCTTGAGGAGAGGACTCTGCCCTTCATTGTTGTAAAGAAACAGACAAAAGGCAGGCCTTCTCTTCGGGCCCAGGGCCCTGACACTGTGCATGACAGCCAGCCTGCGCAAAGCCCACCTGCCATAAGTGCCCATCCTCAGTGAGCAGCTGAGTGTATCTCTTGTGACCAACCAGCCCACCCAGACCCAGAACCGGGTCCCAGGACTGAGCACCCAGCCCACCTAGACCCAGGACTGAATACCTATTTCACCCAGCCCATCCAGACCCAGGACTGAGCACCCAGCCCATCCAGACCCAGGACTGAGTACCTATTTCACTCAGTTCATCTAGATCCAGGACTGAGCACCCAGCTCACACAGAGCCAGGACTGAGCACCCAGCCCACCCAGACCCAGGACTGAGCACCCAGCTTATTTAGACCTTGGGGAGCAGTTAAGCTGCTCGGGTGCCTAGGCTGGCTCATAAGCACCAGGATAAGACAGAGAAAGAGCAGACACTGACGGATAAGGTTGAAAAGATAATCTTGTTTGCAGAGATGATGCCCTTAGTAAGAGCCACCTGTCCTTTGAGAGCAGCTAATGCTGAGGCAAGGAGTATGAGCCCCACCCTGTGGTAAGATGGGGTTTCCTTGTGCATGCTCAGTGGAGGACCAGGCTCCGACCATCTATGCCATAGAGGACCTGTGTGAAGGTCAGCTCCCTCGTAAGCTAACCCAGAAATCAAATGAGCTCAGCAGGTGGAAGTAGGCCACGTCCAACCACTACAACAAACATGGTAAGATCAGCCATCCCTGGAGGAGGTAGCATACCAGCTCCAGATCGTGCCCAAAGCCTCAAGGGCAAAGATCAAGAAGTCTGACTCTA